ATGGCAGAGGCAGAGCCTCTGGGAGTGGCCTGTCCTCTTGCCTCCTGTCCTGTGTCTGGTCTCCTTTTGCTCTGTCACCTTCCAGGGAACACCCTTACCTGCTGGCCTGTGCTGGCTTCCCCTCAGAGGTCCTGCCCTCCACTTGGGGTCCCCACTGTGCAGCTGGAGGACTCAGGGAGGGCCCAAGGGGAGGTTTCCTGGGGGTACCCGCCGAACTTGAACTTACTGCCCCCTGCCAGTGCAAGCAGGAGTTTCATGGAGTGTCGAGGCTGGCGGACCTGGCCCAGACTCTCCTTCTCTCCCCCCTCCACGCTCCCCCCACCCCATCCCTCCTTGCACCCAGTGTGACATTGGGCACCATGTCTGGGTTTTCATGAAGAGCCCTGCTTTTCCAAGGACGATGAAACCCGGGGCTGCACTGGGGACACCAGGTAAGGTAGCCTCTCCCTGCTTCCTGCCGGCCCACAGAGAGTCACGGACAGGTGGCCACTGGGATCCTCGGAGGGTAGAGGCCGGGCTGGGGGAGTGCCAAACCCAGGTCACACATTGGTGCGGGGTGTGTGGTCCTAGGACCCACCCTCACGTCCCCTGGGCCGCACTGAGCACCCTGGGGGTTGGGAGGGGTGCCGGTGAGCGCCTGTCATTTACGTGCAGCCCACAGCTCTCGCACAATGGTTGGGGAGGCGCCTATCCTGCCAGGCCTTGACCCCCGGCTGGCCGAGAGCATACGTGTGCACTTCCCCACAAGGCGGCACCCAGGTGCCAGCTCGTCAGCCCAGGGCCGGCCGCACACACATGGGGTGGCTTCCAGGAGTGCCCCACAGCCTCCTGGCCTTCTGGAAGGCCTGTAATACTTGCCGGTGTGCTTTCCAGACTCATCCTTCGTTAGTGCTGCCCTCAGTTCATGTCCTCAGCTGGTAGGCAGGCCCCGGGTGGGTCCCAGGGTGTGGCTGTGGTTGGTTCCTGTCTTCACCAGGATTGATGAAGCACCTGCTTTGTGCCAGGGGATTTTGTGGGCAAACACCATGGAGCTGAGACACTCACCATGCTGGGGGGTGGGGGGTCCCGGAAGGCACCTTTGAGGAGGTGACGTTAAGCTGAGACCTGAAGGTTCCAACTGCTTGAAGAGGAAAGGCCACTCCCTCATGGGGGTGGGGGGGTAGTGGGGGACAACATGTACAAAGGCCCTGAGACCCTAGAGCACAGGATGGCTGATGTACGTGAAGATTCTAGACCTAGGCCCCTGGCAGAGGCTCCAAGGGCACCTGGGAAGAAGGAAGTGTAGGCTGATGTGCACCCTGAAAGCCTACAAGACCTGGCCAGTCTGGGCCTGGAGGGCCCCAGGGACACCTCTTCCAGGCAAAGGGCCCCCAACTTTCCCAGCCCTTGGCTTCTAGGGGTGCATAGGAAGTCTGTGTGTGTGTGTGCACCTGCGTGTGTGCACGCGTGTGTGTGCATGTGTGGCGCTGGAGAGGCTGAATGGGAAGGAAGGGCTGCTGAGGAGGCCACCACGGAGGACGGTACCCCGCTCTCGTTCCTTGCGTTACCCTCTGCCTACCCTCAGCCTGGCCCGCATCTTGGACAGCCAGGGAGGCCACGTCCACAGTTTGTGCAGACTTTCAGAGAAAGGCACCGGGCGCGGGCCACATGGGCCCGTGAGCCCCAGGGACGGCATGTCCCCTGTGTGTCTGCAGCCATGACCTGGGCCTCTCAGCGAGCCAGCCTGAAGCAGTTGGCATCACATCCTGGGAACCCCAGCTCGGTCTCAGAGATTAATTGGTGCTTTTAATTACTGGCTGGTCTGCAGAAACCAAACATCCAGGACAAAGATGAGCGATCAGCTCTGAGCAGTGGCTCCGCAAAGACAGCCCCGTCCTGCCCTGCTGGGTCTCGGATCGAGAGGCGAGGGGGCTCACAGGGGCGCCAGGAGTCCAGTGGCCCCCAGTAACAGACTCCCAGGGCTCCGGGCCAAGCTTTTTGTTGAAACACCCCTCCCGACGTAGTTTGCCAGCTGGCGTGGACCTTCTGGTTTGGGTCAAAGCCCTTCCTCGGTTGGGCTGATGTCCACTTGGAAGCTGGCTGTGTCTGCCCCTCGCCTTCTGTGTGTGCAGAGGCCGCCGGGAGATCGTGCCCAGATTCCCCCCTCCCCTGCCTGCAGGACCAGGGTGTTCTGGGCCAGCCCGTGGGGGGTGCTGGTCAGGACACCTCCCGACCGCCAGGTTGGGGTGAATGTGCTCCAGGCTGCACCTTGTCACCGGCTCTGAGGCCGATCAGGAAAGCCACCCTGCCCAGGGGTGGCCGGGGACGGGACGGGACAGGGCAGTGGGACCCCCTCCTGTGGCGGTTCTTTGAGAAGATCGGGGGAGAGGGCAATGCTTAGCCCGGAGGGCTGAGACCGGCGCACGCTGTCTGCCCAGTGACATGTGCTGTGCAGATGTGTCGGGAACAGCTGTGGGCTCTGCTCTGGCTTCCACTCACCCCCTGCTGGACGCGACCCCCCGGCCTCCGGCTGTGCCCATCCATCTCTCCTCTCCCCGTCCTGGGCCTGGCTCCTGACTCCACCAGCGACGTTCAGGTCTCAGTGTGTATCTTTGATGGCAAGCAGAGACTGCTTCCGCAGCCCAAACCGTCCTCAGGCAGGGTCCTGGGGCCTGCATGCAGAGCCCTCCTTGGGTAGAGGCGAGTGCCAGGCGTCTGGCCAGAGCTGGCCAGGCACCAGCATACCACCTGCGGGGAAACTGAGTCCGCTGAGGTGTTAGAGGCTTGGGGTCTGCCTGGGCCTTCCTCTGGACGTTTCCATCCCGTAAGCCTCGTCTGTGCAGACGGGCATTGTGTGATACCAGGCTCCTAGATCCCCGGACCCCAGACCCCACCCTCCTCCTGGACCCTCATTCCCCTGGGCCCCAAACCTTACCCTCATTCTGGACCATGGGCCCCCTGGCTCCTATGGGCTCTTGCCCCTGGACCTCAGTCCCCAGGCCCCCTGCCCTTCCCCACCACCTGGGCCCCAGCCCCAACCCCCGTGCACCAAGCCCCTCTGGGTTCTGGTCCCTGGGCTCCTCTGAGAGGCAGTGGGGCCAGGAGAGGGCTTCTCAACCCCCATGCAGGAGGGGAGCCAGGATGTTGAAGGTGACTCCAGAAAACCAGCTTTCGAGCCCAAATAGGCTGTCAGGAGCTATGCTTGTCCTTCCGAACTTAACTTTCAGATTTAATGAGGCTTCTGGTTCAAGATGTCGAAGCCGGGACCCCTCGGAAGCAGAGCCCTGTGTCCATTATGACCGGAAAAGGCCAATGCTAGCTTGAAAGGAAAATATCAGAGAGAAAAATCCTCTTTCGGAGCGAGGGGCCCCGGATGGCTCTGCCACCGCGGAAGGTTCCAGAGACGCAGCGGTGCCAGAGGCAAATTAAAACACACCCTGTCAAAAGAGTTCCGCTGTGTCCCAAGTATTTATTTTTCTGAACTTGGCGAAGGAGGGTTGAATTAAGACACTCTCGGGCGGGAGCCTTGAGCAAAGTGGGAGAGCTGGTGGCTGTTTGGAGCCCACCAGGGAGACTCAGAGCAGGACTGGCAGAGGTCTGCCCCCTGAAGCTCGAGGTTAGGGGCAGTTTGTGGAGCTGCTCTGCCTCAGTCCCTCGGGGCCTGGCACTCTGGCTGGCACAGACCCGGCCCGCTTCCTTGGCTGCAAACCCGCGAGGACCCCTGCTGGCCAAGCGTTCTAGCAAAGCGTGAAAGCTGGCCGCCCGCCCCGGCCTCCTGTCCTCAGGGTGTGGAAGGGGGTAGGAGGGAGCTGCGGGGATCTCCCCGAGAAGGCACTGGAGTTCTGGAAAGGAGAGCGTTCTAGGTCACGGGACCTGACGACGTCCCCTGTGGCCCTTTGACTTCGGGTGAGTT